AGCGCCATCTTCGGCTCCGCTGATCCCCCCGGTGGGCACGAGCTGGCCCAGGGCTGGCAGAAACACCGTGGACGCCTCATCAGGAGGAGGAACAGCTTTGCCAGAGAGGCTGCTAAAGGAAACCTGCAAATCCACATACAGCGTAAGCCTAGAATGCGTTTAATTCTGGAGTGTTTTAAAGAGTCTTTGTACAAAAAGACTTTGAGTAAATCAGACTGCCCTGGCTGGACATTTGGGAAGCAAGGAATGCTGTGATGTTCAAGGGCAAGTGCAGGGTCCTGTACCTAGTGAGGAAAAGGGGAAAAAAAAAAAAAAAAAAAAACGCCGCTGCACAGTTGGGGACTGGAGAGCAGCTCTGTGGAGAAGGACCACAGGGTTCTGGTAGACAACAAGCCACCGAAGTGCCCTTGTGGCCAAGAAGGCCAATGGGATCCTGGAGTGCATTAGGAGGAACATTGCGAGCAGGTGATCCTGCCCCTCCACTCAGCTCTGGTGAGGCCACGTCTGGAGTATTGTGTGCAGTGCTGAGCTACGAAGGACAGGAGGGACGTGGAGCTACTGCAGAGTCCAACACAGGGCTATAAAGACAGTGAGGAGACTGGGCCATCTCCCATGAGGAAAGGCTGAGCGACCTGGGCCTGTTCAGCTTGGAGAGGAGAGGAGAGGACTGAGAGATAGAATCTTACCAATGTGTACCAGCATCCTAAGGGAGGGTATCAAGAGGATGGGGCCAGACYTTCCAGTGGTGGACAAGGGGCAATGGGTGTAAGTTGCAACACAGGAAGTTCCCTCTCCATGCGAGGAAAAACTTCTTCATTGTGAGGGTGATGGAGCCCTGGAACAGGCTGCCCAGGGAGGTGGTGGAATCTCTGGAGACCTTCCAAACCTGCCTGGATGCCACCCTGTGCCATTCGCTCTGGGGGTCCCTGCTGGAGCAGGGGGGTTGGACTAGATGATCTCTAGAGGTCCCCTCCAACCTCAGTCATTCTGTGATTCACCCAAGAGCCAACAGAAAGAATGACTATTCTTTACAAGAATACTAGTTAAAAATTCTTTGAGTAGTTATTCTATTTCTAGTCTTCCTTCCTTTGAACCACTGACCTGTCATGTTCTGCGACTACATAACACTTCCAGATGATTTTTACTCAACTGCCTTATCTTCTAGGAAAGCGGCGTTACACAATAGCTTGTTGGCAGGACACTACCTAGAACGGTAGTATTTCGTTTGGCAGAACTATTTTGCAGTTGCCTAGAGATGAAATTCAAGTCTTCTGAAAATTCCTTAATGTCAAAATCTCTAAGTCCAAGTGCACGCCAGACCTTGAATTACCCTCTGCTGAAGAGCGGCCAAGCCACTTTTTACATATTAAGCCCAATACTTGTACTGAATTTGCCCAGCAGTGGAAAGACAATTGTCTTCTGGAAAACAGTAAGCATGTTTAAAGCTGCATTTAAATTCAAGAGTTCACGCTGTTTTATTTGACCAAAACTACATGTATTCTTTCTGCATAAGACACACAACTTAGAGCTGAGAAAATATCAGTCAAGCAACTCTTCAATAGCAGCTCTAAAAAGTAAGAATGTAAATGAAAGTAACTCACATGTCCCACACTGAACCTCTGTCCATATACTTGCCTTTTGTAGTGGTCTTCCTTCCAAGATGAAAATCCCACTTCACACACAATTAAAACCATTATTTTGTTCCTAGTGTATTCAGCACGTCTAGCATGTGAGTGGAAAACCTCTGCTCCAGCATGTTACGCAAATGCTTTTACCATACTCATAGTATTTGCCCTGAGGTATTTCTGTTTTAGTGGTATGTCACGTATATAAAAAGCCAAGTAAAAGTACAGTCTTACATTTTGGAAAACACAGAAGTACAGTGCTGAAGGGCCTGATAGTGTATAACAGAGAAAAATAAGAATTATCTGAAAAGGAACTGTTTTTGAGAAGAGCGGGCACCCTTGTACGTACACACTCTCTGCCTT